GTTTATACAGAATCTTCTCCCGACTAAACTGGATTCTCATTTTAGTTCCCCTTCTCCTTGTGACACGGTTTATGCCGAACCATTTGATATCGTTCATACTGACTTGTGGGGACCCTCTCCTATTGATTCTCGAGTTGGGTATCGGTACTTTGCCTTGTTCATTGATCATGTGTCACGGTATACATGGATTTATTTCCTACGATCAAAATCCGAGTTGATAACTTATGCCAAGGACTTTATCCAGCTGATTTGTACACAATTTGGTAAAACTGTTAAAATTGTTCGTTCTGGTCCTGGTGGTGAGTTCACGTCTAATCCGTTACAGGAGTTTTATACGGATAATGGCATCATTTCTCAGCTTTCTTGTCCTGGCGTGTCACAGCAAAATGGACTTGTTGAGCGAAAGCATCGCCATGTTTTGGAGCTTACTCGAGCTCTTCTTCGGCATTCTCTTGTACCAAAGCGGTTTTGGGCAGAAGCTGTTAGTACGGTGATTTATCTCATTAATCGTCAGGTTACTCCCACCCTGAACGGACAGTCTCCTTATCAACGTCTCTTCGGCAAGGTACCTGATTATTCTTTCCTTCGCGTTTTTGGTCGTGTATGCTTTGTTCTTCTACCTAAGTGCGAACAGAATAAGCTTGAAGCCAAGACAGCTCGCTGCGTTTTCATTGGCTACAGTTCTCGGCAGAAGGGATATTTGTGTTATGACACTCAGGAACGTCGTATTCGCGTCTCGTGCCATGTTGTTTTTATGGAACACGTTATGTATTTTCCGGCTGGTGATCGAGATCTTGAACAGGAATTTGACTTTTTAAAGACGGTTCGGCTTGCTGATTTCTCCGTCGCGGCTCGTCCACAAAATGCTCTTGCTCCGGGGCCGCAGGGAGGGAATGCGGATAATTTCATCTATTCTCCTCCTCACACTCCATCGGGCTCCTTTAATTCTTCTGGTGCATCCTCTTCAACTGGCCTGCACTCCAACAGTTCGCGAGCTCACCCCAGCAGTTCCCCAGCCCACTTTTCTTTGCCGGCAAGAGATAGCTCGTCGACGGAAGGCTCGTCTGAACCGGACAGCAGCGGTGAACCTCACGCTTCTTCTTCACTTCATTTGAGCGAGGATAGCATTACGCCTCCTCCATTTCCAGTTCCACGACGATCCCTACGTCGTAATCTTGGTCAACCTCCTATTCGCTTGAATGATTATGTTGGTTTTTCTGCTGAACCGGTCAGTATTCCGACTCATTATCATTTTGCCAAGGATGATCCTCGTTGGAATGAGGCAATGCGAGTTGAGACACAAGCTCTTGAGGAAAATCATACATGGGACATCGTCCCCCGGATTCCAGGTGTTACAGTTATTGGCTGTAGATGGGTCTATACAATTAAAATGTTTCCCGATGGGACGATAGAGCGGTTTAAGGCACATCTTGTGGCGGAAGGGTTCAGACAAGAACATGGTATTGATTATGATGAAACGTTTTCACAGGTCATTAAAATGCAAACGGTTCGCAGTGTGTTTGCAGTTGCTGCCATGCATTCTTGGGAAATCATTCAGTTTGATGTTAAGAACGTCTTTTTACATGGTGATCTTAAGGAAACTATATGCATGGAATGTCCAGAAGGGTATGACAAGAAGGGGTAGGATGTGATTTGCAGGTTACAGAGATCACTATATGGCTTGAAGCAAGCCCCTCGGGCATGGTTTGAAAAATTTCATGCGACAATTATTCAGGCTGGCTTTAGTCAAAGCCAAAATGACCCATCCATGTTTGTTCGCAGCTCAGTGGATGGAATTGTAGTCTTGCTGCTCTACGTTGATGACATGATCGTGATAGAAAGTGATCAAGCAAGAATTCGGGAACTAACGGAGACTTTGCGAGATGCCTTTAGTCTCAAGGTGCTCGGTCCAGTTTCTTACTTCCTTGGTTTGGAGGTGACTCGACTACCCACTGGATATTTCTTGTGTCAGAAGAAGTACATTGCAGATCTCTTGGCATCTGCAGAGTATTCAGACTGTAAGCCGTGCTCGAGACCACTCGAGCAAAATCTGAAATTAAGCAGAGAAAGTGGTGATGTTCTAGAGGACCAGACATTCTACAGAAGTGTAGTTGGGAGTCTCATATACTTGACTCACACACGACCTGATATCGCATATGCAGTTCAGGTAGTGAGCCAGTTTATGGGAATTGCGAGGACGAGACATCTGGATGCGGTTCATAGAATATTGAGATATCTAAAGCAAACAAGTGATGTAGGAATGATTTTTACATCAGGAGGAGAGTCGACTCTAGAAGCATTTGCATATGCTGATTACGCAGGTTGTGTTGATACCACGAGGTCTACTTATGGGTGGTGCATAAGGTTTGGGAGATCTTTTGTTTCGTGGAGATGCAGGATACAAGATAAAGTTTCAAAATCCTCAACCAAAGCAAAGTATCGATCGATGTCAGAAGTCAGCTCGGAGATGGTATGGCTGCAGAGATTATTTGCAGAGTTGGGGGTCACGTGTAGGGTGTCGATACAGCTCTACGGAGACAACACAAGTGCTATCCAGATAGCCAATAATCCAGTCCTTCATGATCAGACTAAACACATTGAAGTTCATGTCCATTATATTCGACAGTTGGTGGCCGAAGGAATAATACAAATTAGTCATCTTTCTACAGATGATCAGATTGCTGACATTTTGACAAAAGCTCTAGGTTCAAGCCGCCACTGGTTTCTATCTTGCAAATTGATGTTATGTACCCAACATCAATTTGAGGGAGGTTGTTGAAAGTATGGGTATCATTATGTAATTTGTATCTAGGGTTTGTCTTAGCAAATCATATATATATACTTGTAGACTGTACAGAAGGATTGAACGAATAAGAAAACAGAAAACCTGAGAGGGAGATCCTCTCTGTGGACTAGTGCCAGATTGACGATACCACGTTAAAAAAGGCTAAAAAAAGGCTTGTGTATTCTTCCTTCCGAGCTTAGATTGATTATTTGACAGTGTCGATATTTTGTTTAAACCAATCCTAAGTGGAAAGCTTCTTTTCTTATTAAGTTATTATTATAATTACATTAAAAAGTAAAAATAAATAAAAATAAAAATGGACACGCCTTCTTCATCTTCTTTTCCCCTTCTTTCCATCTACTCAGGAGACCCAGAGTATTTTCTCCATTCAACGAAAAAGAGTAATTTGGCTCATTTCTCAGTAAAACCCCTCCACCATCACTCCAAATCGACGGCGACACCCACAAGCTCATTCCCCTTAGCCCAACGAACAAGAAAATGCATTTTCAACGACCCATCGCAGAAGAAGGAGAAGAGCGGTGACGGTGGTGGTCCGGAGCTGAAGAAGATCGTCGATCTGTGGACGTCGACCATCCAGATCTCCCCGCCTGAGAAGTTTTCCTTGGAGTCACCAGCAGCCGAGGAGTCAAGGTCGCCAACGCCAACAATCTCTTCCAACGCTGCCATTGTCGCGAAGGTCCGCGATTTATCCATTCCTTTCGACTTCTCCACCGCCACCCTAATCGTGCCCGCCACCGCAAAACAGAGGGGATCACATCATCTTCTCCAACCAACCACCACCGCCAAAACTTGATTCCTTGACCCCGTAACAGAAACCCGTTGGTAGAAACTCGATTTCGCAGAAAAGAAACACGATTTTGCCGCCAAAACCCATATTCCCAAACTTCTTCCTTCTGCACCAGATCTGGATCCAAATCCAAATTCAAATGTCTTGACTCCTTCCCAGCAGCAGTTTCCTCTTCACTCTCCCCACCGGCGGGCTAAAATCCACAGTTAGGGTAAACTCTCTTCTCCTCCCTCTCTCGTCGTCGGCGAAAATGGGTCCAAGCGCCTCCGCAACAAGATCGCCGGCTTCTCCACCCACATGAAGAAGCGGATCCAGAAGGGTCCCGTCAGTGGCATATCCCTCAAGCTCCATCAGAAGGGTTCGCATCCTTCCCGAGAGCCGCATTCTTCCGTCTTCTTTCTTCTTCGTCAAAGTTTTCTTGCTGTGTGATGGAGAAGAAGAGAGGGAAAAGAGATAAGGGAGCGAGAGAGAATGGGAAGGGAGAGTATTTTATTTTCTGAAAAAAAGAGAATTGTGGTGAAAAAAATAATATTAAAGAAATTATTTGAAATAATTATTTGATTTGAGGTGGCTGACACGTGGCATACATTTGATGACGTATACGTTCACATCATTGAAGAGTTAATGGTATTAAAGTTTTGTAACGAAAATGGCTAAAGTTGTCAAGCAAGTTTTCAGAAGTGGTTATATGAGTGTATTTTTCAAAATTTAGTTATATTTGTCACAATGCGAATAATTATGGCTATGAAAGTGTAATTTACCTTTCAAATTAGATGCTAAGAAGTTTTTTTCGATTAAAGTATTGTCCACGCGAGTCAATGTACAATTATAAACAAACAAACCGGCTGTGCACTCAATTTCTACTAGATATTATTGAATACTGAGTGCATTTATTGTATTTATTACTCATACAAGCTTCTATGCTTTTACTTCAAATCCGTATAATCATGTCATTTGAAAAACAATTATGATTTGGAGGCTTATGGGTTTTAAACAAGATATTTACATGTTCTCGAACCTTAACTAGTCCAGCCATTAGGAATGAAGTACAAAAATTTCAACTACGATCCACAATCTACACATATTAAGTATCAAACATCTTAATAATGAATTGATTATCATGACCAAGAATCCGTCCATTGTGATAATCATATAAAATTCTGACTATATTAATACATGAGATGAATAAAACCTACAAAATTTAATTTATGAATATTTTACAAAAACAAACATAACTATTTCGACCAAAAGACAGTCTAAACTAAACTAGTATGTAACACTTTGATTGTTTTTACCTAAATTTAAATTTTAAATTAAAAACAAAAAAAAGGAGAAATAAGACAAAAAAGTGTTCTTATACTTTTCAATATATACTAGTCTTATTGCCCGCGCTCCGCGCCGGGACTTGCATTATTCAATAGCTTATTACACATAAAGCAACATATAGAGAGAGTTGAATAAATTGAATCCACATTTTGAATGAATTCGCTCATTAATTTAATTAGGAGTAAAATGAGGACAATACTGAGGATTTGTGTTAGAAGTATTCGTTTTTGTGCGCTGAGAAGAGTAATATAGAGTATCGTAAAAATGTTCTGGCAAGATCATTATCTGACAATTATATAGTCTGTTACAATTCGTCAGGTGCAAAATAATAAATCATAGATGCAAACTTCTTGACAATCAAAGAGCACCACCGAAGGAGGCCACCGCCAGAACGTACATTTGAGTAAGGAATAATAACCAACCAATGCAAATAAAAGGGACCAAAACAACTACCAAAGAGAGAGGAACCAAAACAACTACCAAAGAGGGAAGAGAAGAATGAAAAGAGAAGGGAAACACAGAGCATACATTGTCAAAGCTGAAAAGAAACACCTTGCACAGATCCAAAGTTCAACCACATTACGATGGGATTCCCTCCACACATCAACCTCTTAATAAAAATAAAAACAAACAAATAACAACGATTGGATTATATTACACCATCCAACATTGGTTGCAGGCGCGGCTCCCTCAAAAGTCAGAAGAGATCTAATTCAGTGACCATCTCTATCACTGGAGATTGTAGGCAATCTATACTGATGGCACCAGACTAACCATCTCTATCACTGTACGTTTAGTTAAAGAAGCATGGCGTTACATTCACCCTTCTCATACTCCAAAATACAGGATCGCCGTCAAAAGCATCAAACATAAACCATGGATCAGTAAAGAGAAAACGGTATAGATAGATAACAGGAGACAGAGAACGGGGAAGATAATAGATAAACGAAACCTTAATCGATGTCTCTGGTCAACATCTTCACTGAAGACAAAGTCACGGCGAAAATCATACGAACCTCGATCAAGACAACAGATCTGCAAGTGGAAGTGGGGAAAGACGGGGTTCACAATCCAAATAAAATAGAAAAACAGTATAACAAAAAATGAGATCAAAGCTCACCGGAACCCACAGATCTGGGTGAACAATAGATGAAAAAGAAAAATAAACCGGTAGAATTCCAAGCCGCATCGCTCTGGGAATTCCCCACCTCTTCCTATCTGATTCTCGTGGCCACCATCACTGTCGTTGTTCTAGCTGCAACTTAAGCCTACAAAAACAACATAATCCATAAAACGGTGACAGGGGAAGCAATCGAGTCATCGGAGGAGAAGGCAAAGAGAGTGGGGCAGAGGACAGAGGGAAAGGAAGGAGGTGGGACCAGCGGTAGCAGACGGCGAACAGAGCATGGAGGGAAGTGGAAAGGGCGTGGGAGAGCCATTCTGGTCGTCGGGGAGAGAAGAAGAAGAATAAGAGAAGAGGCGGTGGTAGCAGCTTGATCGGATGGTGGCGACGGCGTCCATGCGGCCGGGGAAGCACAGACGGGCGCGGCGGAGTAAACCTTCTGGAAGTCACGAACACGCCCAACCCCAGCTCTCTGCCGTCCAAGCATCCTCTTTCTTTGCCGATATGAAACTGGGGGTGAGAAGAGAGAGGGATTTTTTCACCTGCAGCAAGTAATGGGGAAAAGGAGAGAATATCAGATTGAATGAGAAGAGAGATGGAGGAAAGAGAAACTAAAAGGCAAGTGGTGAAAGGAACTGGCGCATCTCTGGTGAGTGGTGACGGAAACCAATGAGATAGAAAAGCAGGCATGGAGAATAGAGCCCATTAGGTAAATTGAGTGGCCAAAAACTAAAGAGTCACGTGGCTTCTATCTCGCTAAGTTCGGTCTCTCTTTCAGTTACCATCGAGTACAGCAAAAGGTAACGTGTTGGTCAACGCGGCCTCATCAGGACCACACAAATGTAACCAGGTCACCAATTGAATAGTCTAAAGAGAACCACAGCTTCAGAAACTAACCAGAGAACACCATACACCTTCCCACACTAAAGCCAAATCCGAGTTGAAACAGTACATACTAGTCTGTATGTACAGTGAAAGCTCTCTTGCTACACAGGAAATGGGCATGCTAGAGGTTTTCTTTTTTCAATGTATGTATGTATAACTCTTCTTTTTCTAATCATATATAATTCTTCCTGATAACGTTTGGTTTAGTGGGACTTCTTTTATGGATGAAAGCTGCTTCACGATCATTGATACCATTTTCAAGCATTTGGAGGTGCTTTAGTTAGGAACCTGCTCATAACATTTTTTTTTTTGTAAGAAGAAATTTAAAGGAAACAAAAACAAAAGGATTATGCATGTATCACTATCAATATATATTAACATGAATTGGAAAACTATTTCCATGTTTTAAATTTGATGGGACGAGAGGCCAAGTTGGAATCCTTCTACACATTATTCACTGGTCGTTTGCTGCGTGGATTTGAAAAATGAAGGTTTTGACAAAACTTGGGTTTTGTAAAACCATGAATATATGTGGGTTTTGGATTCATTATGGACTTGAAAAATACCAATGTTTGTTTCATAGATTTCACGATGGAATTGGTTAATTAGATTTATATGTATAAATTGAAATTCATCTTTATTGCCCTCATTGGTATGAGAAGATAAATGAAATAGGAGGGATAGTTTGGTTTTAAATGATGGACATCAAAGTTCATGATCAATTCCCACATAAAGAGGTGAAACTTTCAAATCAGTGGGGTTCACAAATTTGTACCCTTAAAGTTCATGGAATTTATACCCTTGAAGCAAACAATTAATTTTAAACAAAATCAATAATAAATCTAAATCAATAACAAAATCCATCAAGCAAACCACCTCTAAAAATCATCATCTACCGCAATTCAAAAAAGTCATCATCTACTTGGGCCCAAACTCAATTCAAAGCCCAACCCAGCCCACAATCTCTTCTCGTCCGTGGAACGCCGCCCCTCCATTTGTCGCTCGCGGCCAGCCACCAACCAATTTAGCAACCCTCTCAAACGAGCCATTGACACCGACGAATTCAACCACCCCTCCGATCCGACTTCAAACTCCAAGCAAATCCGTTGTGATTTCGATCCGCTATGTCCTGACTCAGCAGAACGGTTTTCTAGTGTGTTTTCTCTTAATCCGCCGCTACCAATTTCTCTTTTATCAGTAGTTAAGTTTTCCTCCGTGATGATTGTTTTCTATTGTTGATTTCAGTTTGTTCTTGATGCCGCCACGCCGGTGCATATTATTCACTCTCAGGCGTCTGCATCTTGACAGTGTGGCTGTCTTCAGATTAACATGTCACTTGCCTATGTTTCGGTGCAGGGCTGGACTTTCCATTTTTCTGCTCCTCGTGTCTAATTGTTGTCAAAACAAAATTGTATTGTTGTAATATATTGTTGGTAGTGATGGCAAATTACCCACCCATGGGTAATTATACCCAAACCCAAGTAGACCCATTGATAATGGGTTGGGTATGGGTGAAGTGCATATGGATTTGGGGGGTTTATAGATGGGTTTGGGTTTGAGGCTTCCATAATCTAAATTGGTATGGGTTGGATATGGATATCCATTTACTTGAGGGTGTTTTGATTACACATGCAAAAATTGGACCTATTTGTAAAAACTTGAAAAGTTTAGGTACCAAAATGCAAGACCAAAAAACTTTAGGTACCAAAACGTAATTTTCCATCGATATTTTGAGGACTTATATGCAAAAAAAATTAAATTTAGGTACTAAATATGCATGTCTATTAAGTTTGGGTATCATACTGTAATTTGTGTTTGGGCATGGGTACAAATCCATTTGATATAAACCCAACTCAACCCAAAGTAAATGGGTATGGGTACAAACCCATCAAACTCTACCCATATCCATCTATTTGGATTTCATACCCAACCCAATTGGGTTGGATAGTAAGAAACCCATGGGTATGGGCAAAGTTGCCATCCCTAATTGTTGGTGTATCATGAGACGACTCTTAATATGTTTATCCTCATTGTGGTTGCAATTGATTTCTTAACAATTTATTCGATTAATTATGTATCAACCTTACACATCCTTAGTTTTATGCGCGAGCCCTACGACATATATTTTTTACTTTCTTCATTGTTATGTTATTACGAAATTGAATTGACAGTGCGTCTGGGTGGCATCATTACTGCAATGAATTCCGTATAAGTTGATATCAGAAAATTTTGTTCCACCACCTAAGACTTATTGGAGGCTTAGACAAAGGCAAAATTTTCATGTTTAGATAATTTGATTTGACGAAAATCGGTGGATCCAAATGTTGTCCTGCCAAAGGCTAGTTTTTACCATAGTCCATGAAACGTACCGGAGACCGTACCGGGAAAGTCAGCGTTAGGGTATTTTATGGTAAAACTGTGGTTTAATCGTAGTTCAACCGTTATACCGGTAAATACCGCATATCGGTTTAGCCTCCGATACTAGTATTTCGTGGTTGAACCGCCGGTTCGGTACGGTTTAATGGACACTGGTTTTTACATATATTTGGAAGAGTGTTAGTACAAGATAACAAATTTAGGCGTTCCAAGTTATGTTAAGCATAATTTTCTCCAACAAAAAAGTTATGTTAAGCATAAAAACTTAATAATTTGATACAAGTGACCACGGACCAGCGGACAGGATAGAAAGGTGGGGGTCAGGAAGTTGCGATAGTTTTGTTGAGATTGTCATTATGCATGTATTGTTTACAATGCGTCGTTTTTTGTTTTGTTTTTTTAGCGGAAACAATAGATGGATTGTTTCTGTGATGTGACAGAAACTATCACTCATTTTGAGTTATTGTTATATCTCAACTTTTAGTTGAGATAGTTGAGTTGAGATTGTTTTGTCTCAGCTTTTAGCTGATGCGACATACACAATCACACATACCAAACGTTGTATCCTACAATGCATCAAATTCGACAATACATGTATAATATTATAGATGCATTCTCAACAATACATCTATTTAACAATCGCAACTTCCAAACGACCCGTAGTTTATATAAATTGTATTTAATTCGCCTAGCAAAACAGCCAAAGAATCCAAAGAATCGAATTGACATCCAATTTTATACAATGACTAATTCACAATTGTGTCTGATTCCATATATTTTGAACGTTTCTTTCTTTACTCTATAAAAATACTCTACACTTGTCCTTCCCTCGCTTCAAACGCCGGTGGGACAGAAACAAATAAGACGCCAAATAAAAATGAACTTCTCTCATTCGGCCGACACTTTGATTCTTATCAGTGACTCGAACCGCCATGGCCGGACGAAGAAACCGATGACCTGGACGAAGAACCCGACGAAAAACTCCCGCCCGACGGCCCGTAAAACAAATCGGACCAGTAATTCTCCAAATCATCAGGGGCATATCTGACAATTCCATGCGACCCCGCTTGCCTCGACACCGCCGCCCGATTCCGCTCGTAGAACCGCCGGTACGCCGGGCCGATTTTCCTCGCCACCGAGATCTTGATCTCGTCTCTCAACCTCGAGTCCGGCACCACCCACGACGACTGCTTCCTGTACGCCTCCTCGAACGCCGAGTTGAATTTCCGGAACCACTCCGCCGCCTCGGGAACCGTCATCGCCGCCGCGGCGTTCGCCGGAAGCGACGACATCACTCTGTCCCACCCCACGCGCTCGTAGTTGGCGGCGTACTGCCTCACCTTCGCGTCGTGCTTCTCGATCCACTCGTCGCCGAGGTGGAACTTCAGGCTCGATGTGCGGACCTTGTTCACGACGTAGCGCAGGTTGTTGGCCAGGAACAAGTAAGAGAGAGGGACGTCTCTGTAGAATTGAGCCTTGCCGTCGAGTTTGCAGAGGAGGATGAGTATCAGCCAAGCCAATCGAACGGAGACCGGGGAGGTAACGCCGTCGTCGGGGCCGGGACTGCTGAAGTAAGTCTCCGGCATGGAAGCCGGCACCTCCATCGGGAAATCGGCCACAATATCGGAGAGCGCCCCGGAGTAGTCGCTGAGGAAGGAGATGTAGTTCATGACGTAGCGAGTGAGGGGATGTACGCCGCCGCCGGGAACCGAGATCTTGGATGCGTCCTTGGTAATGGAGTTTTCCAGATCTGCCAACATCGTCCTCACGGCATCGCCTAGCTTGATTAGAGAGTTGATTGCTCGATTCCTCACCGCAGCGGTCGATTCGAAGCTGAAAATCGATTCGATGTCGGGCCAGAGATCGCTAATCGCCTCGTAGATGTCCAGCGTGCGGAACATTTTCTCGAGAGTTTTCTTCCCCTTCGCGAAATTTTCCGGGAATCCAAACAGGTCCAGAGCGCCTTCTCGAACGACCTCCACGAAGCAGGACTCCCTGATTGCGGGAGAAGACGAGGAGAAGACGTGGTCGCAGAGCAGCCGCTCCCCGTAGATCAGAGTCTTGACGGCGACCTTCACGGCGTAGAGCCACGTCTTGATTTTCGAGTCCACCGCCTCCCAATCGAGCTTGTGGACCTGGAGCAAGCTGAACCTGTCGACTCCGAGGCGGTACAGGCCTTCGTCGACAATCGATTTCCGGATGATTTTGTAAATCTTCACGCACTCCTTGGTGTATCCGGCCCCAATCATACAGTGCGCGATGGCGTTCAAATCCGCCATAGCAACCGACGAGGCCGAGGGAACATCGTCCCCAAACTGAGACGGCTCCGTGGCCGTCTCGTCCCCATCGGATTCCTCTTCGTCCGAAACCGTGGACGACCTAGAAGCTCTGCTGGCGACGGAGGAGCGGTGGACGGAGACCAATTCGGCATCCAGATGCTCGCGATTCGACCTAAGAATCAGATAGAACTCCTTCTCGAGCCTCTTCATCGCCTTCTGCATCAGGGTCTGAGCTCGAACGAGCATCTCGGAGCCGGGGTAGCTGGCCACGTAGTACTGCATCGCCGCCTGAAGGTCCTTGACCGCGGAGAAGTATCTCTTGGCCTCGAGGCGGTGGTCGTCGGAGAAGAGGGAAGGAGTATCGGTGGAATTGTTCTGGGAGGTGGTGGTGGTGGTGGTATCCCATCTATAGATGAGCGCTTCCGCGCTTTCTATGTTTTCCTCCATTAGAGTCTCGGAGAAGGTGTGGCGGCGGGGCGGGGACGCCGCCGGGGAGTGGAATGGAGACGCCGCCGGGGATCGGGCGAAAGGAGACCTCATTGTATGATACTATTCGAATTTGTTCAGCTAGAAAGCAAGCTGTCTGACGGTGAGGTTATGGCAGTGCTGGTTGAGAGAATTGGATGGATAAGAAGAAGAAAAAGGGAATGAAATGATGAGATGAATGAATGAATGATGTATGGTTTAGGTCAGATTGGGTTTTAGGGTAGGAGGAGGGGGTATTTATAGAGAGAAGAGCGGGTTGACTGAGTGTGGGCTTGGGCTTGGGCCTGGGACTTGGGAGTTGGGAGTAGTAAGGTAAAGACTGGTCCAACGCCGAAGTTTGACGCGCTTTTCCAAATCGGGGGGAATTTGGTTGGTTATTGGTCTGATGCTCAGCGTTTTGCCTTTTTGTAGCTTTGAAGATAGCGCATTGACTTTCCTAACCCTGTGTGCTTGGAGGAAGTTTCCGTTACAAAAAACGGGAGCCACGTTTTGGAAAGGGAAGGAAGGAAGAGGGTGGTTTTCCGTCAGCTCAGACGACATAGTTGATAGAACCAAAGAAGCTGAGGCGTTGCCAACTTGCCATGCAAGCGGATTACGAACTAGTTTAGGACTTAAAAATATATATTAACGCAGGCCTGTTTCCCTTCAACGAACAGAGGTTGTAAAAAATAATGAATGAGGTTAAATGTGAGAATATAGAAATGTAAACTAATCAAAATTCGAAAATTATACAACAGGACAGTTCAATGAATAATCATGAATATGTAAATTGCTTTCGTAGTTACAAATATTATGTCATAGTATTTAACTTTATTGATGAATCTGAAATATGGAATTTGGTTGCGAAGAGTATGTAAAATAGATGAATCGGTATATAATAATAATATGAAGCTTGAAACTTCAATAACCAGACGATAGAAAGAGAGAAGATATAGAGATGATGGGGTTGGATCGGTATGGGTTTTTGTTTGATGGGTAAGAATAGAATGGAATAGATGTCATTGATTGAGTTCGGTTTTAGAGATGAGTTAATACTACTTCTTTGGTGATATGCCGTGGAGTAGCTACATTTTTTTGTTGTTGGTAGAAATAGCTACATTTTGAATGGAATGGGGTTGTTAAAAATTTTCAGTTAATTAGGGTATTTATGTGAGATAGTATCGACAAAAGTATGGATCCTACATTTCAAGAATCATGCTAAAATGTATTTATTTAAAGATTTTGGTACCCAATTTTTTGCTAAGTGGGGTCCTATGACCCCCTCCTCAAAGGCTCCCTCTGCCACTGGTGATATTAGAGCTGGAAGTTAGGTTTCTACCAAAAAAAGAGCTGGAAGTTTGGTACAGGTATTTTGGATATTCCGAATATTGTATCGAACTTATCACTATTTGGTATTATCAAATATCGAATTATGTTTTAGGGATTGAGATTGAGATCTATTATGGAGTGCTATTCGGTATTCGGCATTACGGGATTGAGATTGGTATATATCGAAATACCGAGAAACAAGAAAATTGAAAATTAATGAAATATAGCATACAAAGTTTGGTCATTCCTCACTCTTTCACAACTCACAAGTCCCCATCCAACTCAATTTGTTGGCTTTCAAGTTTGAGTGACTCTCGTCTCTTACATAATCTCTTGTTATTTTGATAACACCAAAAAGCAAACACTAGTAGTAGTCGTCTCTCAGCCTCCAATTCTTCGAATTAAAGATTACCAATTCGTCTACTCTCTTCTCCTCCCTTCCACTTATCCATGTCCTAGCTCTAGGCAAACTCCACCTGTTTGCTTAGTCTCTTTGTCCTGAGTTACACAATCATATATACTTTATATTTAATTATTAATTGTAAAATAAACTAATTTTGTATTCGATAATACTGATTGGGATACCAAAATATTTAGGGATTGAGATTGAGATACATAAATTATTTAGGGATAGGATTGGGATTGTGATTGATTTTAGAGTGTAATTTGGTATTCAGGATTTCAATATTCGATATTGGGATACCGGTACTGTACCGATTTCCACCCCTAGGTGATATGTATATTTTAGGGTTGTTAGTCGGTTAAGTAATAGAGCACTTCTATTGTACTTTAAAGCATTGGTGCTTGATATACAACTTGAAGTTGTACCATAACGTCACAATCATAAGTACAATTTGAGGTTGTACTATACACATGTGTGATTAGAGTAGGGGAGGGCATTTGATACTTTTAGTTTTGACCAAACCGAAATTATGAATACTGGGTCCCCGAATTTCACCAAACTTCAAACCGAATCATAATTCGGTTAGGTCGGTCTAAACCGAATTATAATTTGGTTCGGTTAGAAATTTCACACAAAACCGAATTTGTGAGGCTACTTTGTATCTTCTCCCTTTTAAATTATTTTTCACCACTAATGTAAATAATAAATATGCAATTATATGCATCATCTATGATAAAATCAAACATTTCAATACATAAGTTATAAAACACTAACATGTTTTTCGGTCGGAACGTCGGAACTTCGGTTCGGTTAAAAGAAGTCTGGTTTCCGAAATATCCATATTTTTCTTCCTAATTCCGAACCGAATAACATTATTTCAATTTCGGTTCAGTTTAATTCAATTTCGATTCGGTTCAGATTTACCGAACCGGTTGCCCAGCCCAAGATTAGAGTAGTGACTAGTGAGAATAGTTGATAACTTCCGGTCCGCGCTCTTGTTTTACCCTGGATATATAGCAAAGGTGTCCCCAGTTCCGTTCTTTTTTTATGTTATGTCATACACAGCCAATCCATAAAATAGAAAAGAGAATTTCCCAACTTTTTTGCGTCTTTGAGTTTAGTTGACCGTTGACCTCCACATGTATTTCTTTTTGTATGTATTGCATGAAGGAACCCGTATATATTATTTCACACTTTATAACACAAATCCCGCGGGCGACAACTTATCATAATATTTAACGTAAATAAATTACTACTTATATTCGGGGGTTGATTAGGTCTACAGTATCTTTTCCGAATTAAATATTAATTAGTGAGAATCCCTCATGTATCTTGTATATGTACACGCTCAAGTTTGAATAAATAAATAAAGCAATAATGCGTTAAACAGATGTAGCTTAATCTGCAGGCCACTTCCTTGGACTTTAGCTTTCGTCCTCTCCTCCCTCGTAGTCATATGATAAAAGAGCGAGCCCGGTCCTCTCGCTATCTCCCACCTTCCCAGCTATTATTCGAGTCCAATTTTCATGGAGCTCAGTTGGCTAACCTTATCTATCTAGCATCTTTGATCAGTTCTCTTCCTCTCCAATTAGGGTTGACAAGTGACACACTCTGAACTGTTTCTTCGATATTGGTCATCAAGCAAAAATACTATTTCTGTCGTCACTACTAATTGCTACTTTGGCTTTGGCGTTTTATTAACATTGGAATTTTATGAGAGGAAATTAAGGAGAATCTACTCATGTTACTTCACTAAAACCAAAAGTTACCCAACAAAAATCTTGTGCACAAATCAAGTTATATGCACGATTTATTAATGATTTCCATTGTGTTGGTGCTTTCCATTTTCAACTTGGGTTTCAAAAAAACTTTATATTAGTTACGCGATCTATAATTTTTTTGGGTAGAAAAGTGGGTTGTTAAAAGGGCGACGTACCTGATACTTAAATGAAATGAGATTGCGCAATGTCCATAGTGCCATATAAGCTCCAATAATTTAAACATCGATCGAAATACGTAGAAATTATGATATCCTATATCAATATCAGGATATCTTTGTCAAATATAAACGAAAAACAAGAACACCGAGTTTAACGTGGTTTCCCTGATCAACATGACTAGTCCACGGGAGAGCCTAAGCTCTCCAAGTCAATCTTATTAGCTTGTTAATTAGGTTACAGGTAACACACACACACACACATATATATATAGTTTCCTTAACCCTAATGACTAAGGCATAATTACATAAAGGTACCTACAGTTTCAACACCCTCCTCAAATTGATGTTGGGTACATAACATCAATTTGGCTGAAAGGTACCAATGCCTACTTGAGCTCAATGCCTTAGTCAAAATATCAACTGTCTGATCTTCTGTGGCCAGATGATGCAACTTGATTCTACCTTCTGCCATCAGTTGTCTGATATAGTGAATATGAACCTCTATATGTTTTGTCCGATCGTGTAAGGCTGGATTCAGTGCAATTTGTATGGCACTAGTATTGTCACCATATAAGTTCATCGATCTCTCACACCGAACTCCTAATTATTCCACCAGCCTGTGTAACCATATCAACTCCGACCTCACCTCTGACATAGATCGATACTCCGCCTCGGTGGACGACTTGGAGACCCGATCTTGTTTCTTACACCGCCATGAAGCAAAAGATTGACTAATTCTTACACACCAAACTGAAGTCGACCTACGCATATTCTGGCAGCGTGCGTAGTCTGCATCCGTGAAAGCCTCAATATTCGCCTCACCTCCTGCTGGAAAGAACATACTGACATCCTTAGTCTGCTTCAAATATCTCAGGATCCGATATACTGCATCCAAGTGATGTCGTGTGGCAACACCCATGTACTAGCTCACAACCTGTACAGAATAAGCAATGTCTAGACGGGTGTGAGTCAGATAAATTAAACTGCCAACTAGACTGCGATAGAATGCTTGATCTTCTAAAATTTCTCCACTATCCTTCCGCAGCTTCAAGTTCAGTTCCATAGGCGTCGAACATGGCTTACAAGCTCCATACTGCGCCGTTTCCAGCAGATCAGAAACATATTTCTTCTGTGAAACAAATAATCCCTGCGCTGACTTCTGAATTTCAAGACCCAAGAAAAAAGATGTCACGCCAAGATCCTTTAGATTAAAGGCTTTAGCCAACGCTGCCTTTAGTTCTTCCCCACCATTTGTATCACTCCCTGTAACGATCATATCGTTGACATAGATAAGTAATACCACAACACCATCCACCGTATTCCGAACAAATAATGATGGATCATTCTTGCTCTGTTCCAAACCCAACTATACTATAGTGTTGTGAAATTTCTCAAATCACGCTCTAGGAGGTTGTTTGAGACCATAAAGAGAACAAACAAGCTGACATACCATATCCGGTGAGCCTTTCTTGTAACCAGGAGGCCTCTCCATGAAGATAGTTTTCTTGAGATCGCCATGGAGGAATGCATTCTTTACGTCAAACTGTAAAAGATCCCAGCCACACATTGCCGCAACAGCAAACACACAGCGAACAATTTGCATTTTCACAACGGGCGCAAATGTTTCGTCATAGTCGATGCCATATTCCTGAAGTAAACCTTTTGTTCCAACTCGAGCCTTGAATCTTTCAATGGACCATCAGGATGCATCTTCACAGCATACACCCATATGCTCCCGATCACAGACATCTCAGGTCGCTGTCGAACAAGTTTCCATGTTCTGTTTGCTTCCAACGTATCTGTGTCTTCCTGCACTGCGAGATCCCCAACACGGATTTCCTACTGCCTTTGCGTATGTGGTAGGAATGAAGATGGGTTCCGTAGCAAAGCCAACATAGTCCAGCAAGCAAATAGGAGGTTGTCCCAAATTACTCCTATTAGACCTGCGTGGTACCACTTTTGGCGGAGAGACATCTTCAACTTGTATTTCACCATTGTCTCCCGACCCGGAACTGCCACTAGACGATGATGAAGTAGTGGCGCTGCTACTTTGTAACGTGGAGGACGAGTTCGCACTATGAGCCAGGCTACTGCTATGCGACGTGGAGGGCGAACTGGTACTATTACCCGAGGACGTACTGCTACTACTTAGGGCTGTTAATGATCCGAGCCGAACCGAACTTTGCCATAGTTCAGGCTCGGGTCATTAATATATATTTCAGGCTCGAGCTCGGCTCGTGTTTGTCACGAGCTTTAATATGCAAACTCGAGCTCGACTTGTTTATGAAAATGAAAGCTCGAGCTTGATTTGAGCTCCGCTCGCCAAAGATGTTTAACGAGCCCAAAACCAAGTTTAGCACATATAATGTTAATTATAGCTCAAGATCGAGCTAGAACCGAGCACAAAATATACATTCAAACCTATAGCAAAGTCTAGCAAAACAAAACACAATATTTATCCCAATATCAATACATATAATCTATGATTTCCAATCATTTCTAATGCCAAACCGTTAAATGAGCTTGTTCGCGAGCTTTCGAGCTGAACATGGTATGACTCGAGTTTGGCTCGTTTAATTAACGAGCTTGTTCACGAGCCGGCTCGATTAAGATGAATCAAGTCTCGAACGAGTTTTTCTCGAGTCAGACGCCAAACCGTTCTTGAGCGGCTTGGTTCATTAACAGCCCTACTACTACTACTGCCCGACGAAGACGACGAAGAGAGTATAGCTTGGTCTAAATTCCCTCCCTGAGTCACCAAGAGCTCCGTAGCTTCCATGCCAAAGTTGGGTAAGGGAGCTAAAAAATCAAGAGTCGAACGTGTGAGTGCATCATCAGTAGAAGTCATAGGATAATACATCACCTATTCGAGGAACAAAACATGATAATCATAATACCTTTTCCCAACCGGATCATAACAACAGTAACCTTTGTGTTTTTCGCTGTAACCAACAAACACACATTTCACAGTTTTAGGAGCTAGCTTATGGCGTTCTTTCTGGGGAAGCAGAACAAAACAAGTGCAACCAAACGCCTGTAAGAACGAATAATTCGGCAGCTTGGAGAACAAAGTCTGATATGGTGATGATTGTCCGAGGATAGGCGTGATCTGGCGATTGATAAGATAAACAACAGTATGAACAGCTTCAAACTAGTACCCACTCGGCATATGAGAGTGAAAAAGAAGCGCCCGAGTCAGCTCTAACACGTGCCTATGCTTCCGTTTGACCATGCCATTTTTTTGCGACACACTTGGGCACAAAAGTTGGGACAAAATGCCGGATTTGTAAAAATCCAACAATCCATGCTTAGTAAACTCACCACCTTGGTCCGATCTGATCACTTTAATAATTTTGCCAAATTGTGTCTTTATGAGTTGTACAAACTCCTTTGCCAAGCCATATAGCTCTAACTTCATACAAAGAAAGAAAACCCATGCATAATGTGTCTTATGATCAATAAATAATGCGAAATACTTGAAACCCATACGAGAAGTAACCGGAGAGGGTCCCCACAAATCCGTATGCACGAGATCAAATGGAGCATCATACTCTGTTTCGTTAGACGAAAAAGGAGTTGAGACAGTTTAGCCTCAATACAACTCACGCAAGGAGAACGAGAATCAGCTGGAGAATCAATCTTTCCCGGAAGAAAATTTCGATTAAACATAGATAGTAATCGTGCATAGCGCGGATGGCCTAACCGACAATGCCATAACTTCCAAACCGAAGCATCCTTAGCAAAATCCAAAGCAACAAAATTAACAGATTTGTTCGACAACAAGTCAACTAACAACGGCTTGTCCTTGAGAGTCGATCCTGCCATAGATCCATTCAGCGCCTCCACACGAGCTCTTCCCTACGGCCGCAACTCATCAAGCACAAACACTCTTCCTTGTTTACTTCCCTTCTCGATCATCGTCCCCGTCCTCTTGTCCTGTACCACACAACCATTGACATTAAAGGTAACATTGCAACCATCTTCTGTTAACTTCCAGACAGAGACAAGATCAGGGAGCAAGCTAGGAACATATAATGTATCAGGAAGAGTAACCCAACGAGTGGAAGAAGTGCCACGGCCAAGAACAGGAACCTGGGCCCCATTAGCGACCCTGAGCTTAAGCTTAGAGACCAGATAAATCTTATCGAAGGTGGAGCGAGCATGAGTCATATGATTAAACGCTCCTGAATCTAATAACCAACGGGACGACTTACCAGAGACAACCCCCGTGGCGAATGTCGAAGTCAATGCCTGGGGAAGTGCTTCATGTAAGGCTTCTTGAAACAATTTCCGGACCAGGTCAGGAGAAAAAACCGCAGCACCTGTGCTTCCAGAAGAGCCCGCTGTTGGCCCAAAATGACCAGAGGAGACCGCATAAGCTGTCCTAGTACGCCGAGAAGGAGGATGGCTATCCGATGGAGTAGCAACTGCAGAGGTCCCGGAGTTAGGAAAACTAATTTGCTTCCCCCGCTTTTTCAACGAAGGACAGTCCAACACAATATGCCCCGCCATCTTGCAGTAATTACAATAATTGTGCTTATTACAATGAATTTGAAAGTGACCATGTTCAAGGCAAAAATTACACGTTACCTCTCCATTCAACAGAGTTCCAAATTGAGGACGAGAAGAAGACCCCTGCCGTCCCACAGTAAATGTAGTCTCAGAAGACTGTCCGTCAATTTGGGATTGACTCTTCAAGCGCGTTTCTTCACGAAGAAGCTCCGCAACCACAACATCAAGATCAGTTACACCCCGATTAATGAGAGACACACGGATGGGTTCAAATTCGGGCTTTAGTTTCATAAGAAACTGAACACGCGCGCCAATTCTCTCCTTGAGAAATCAGCCAAGGCTGCACCTGTCATCAGAGAAGCAGTGACCAAATCGTACTCAGTCCACATGTGCAGACAATCCTTGTAATAGCCCCGCACATCCCTCCCATAGCAAATTCCAGCTCATATAGACAATGATGTATTTGCCTGAGAATAGGTATTGCAAATATGCATCCACATCTCATGTGCTATGCCAAACCTACGAAGACTTAATGCCTTCAGAACATCAACCGAACCCAACAACCCTGTAACGATCCGGGCATTCGCAGCGGCCCAATCGCTCTTCTGTTGATCAGTAGTGTCGTCCGCTGGCTTCTTCGATTCGCCGGTCAAAACCGCCGACAGTCGCTGGCCTTCTACAAAGTTCCTGAGAGAGTGATCACCCAAATACGCTGACCAAGAAAACCAAACTTTCAATTATCGGAACAACAAAAAAGCGCCGCCAATACCAACCAAGAACCCTAGCAGAAGCCGTCGTCCAAAAAACCTACAAACAGCATCCAAAATCACCCACGCGTCGAGAATCAGAAGGGCTGTGATACCATGTCAAATATAAACGAAGAACAAGAACACCGAGTTTAACGTGGTTTCCCTGATCAATAGGACTAGTCCACGGGAGAGCCTAAACTCTCCAAGTCAATCATATTAGCTTGTTAATTAGGTTACACGGCTAAGATACATATATATATATAGGTTCCTTAACCCTAATGACTAAGGCATAATTCCATAATGACTAAGGCATAATTCCATGAGAGATTTTCACCTCCCAATTTTGATGAAGAAGGCTTTGAAATTGCCTTGTTAAAGTGCAGCACCTCTGCTGATTGTGCTCGTAAGAGGTTAGGATCTTGATTGCAGTTAAAAAAACTAGTTGGAGATGGACCTTTATGTGGCCTTGCATCCATGCAGCCTAAAGCCCATGCATTGCACCTTTTAGTTCAGCTTGCTTTATATCTACAAAAAAAAATATAATTCATTTGGATATTATAATAATAATTTTCACGGTCTTTATAGTCTCTTCATTCATAGCTGGCTAGTCCTAAAAGTACTAATATGTAGGATTTCTGATGCGCGATATGCCCCCACTGATGTGGTCAGAGTCTTCTATCTCTATTGAGTATTGAGTTCATAAATTGCTAACAATTCCCTTCCTAATAACTAAATCAAGTGTCAGTATTGGTGTTCAATGGCTTGTTCGATTTTAAGAGTAATTTTGTTGGAGGGTAAGCAAAAGCTAAGATATTTGGTAATTTGACGACACTTGAAATGTTGTGTTTATCATATATTTTCTAGCGACAATTTCTCAGATGTTGTGCATCTTTAATAGTTTTAGTATGGATTTTCCATCTCATCCGTTTCTTTGTGTATTTGATAGCCTCTACAAGCCCTTTGACGCTTTTGATGAGTTCAAGTTGCTTGCTAGTTTCTCCAGTTTTCGAGTTCATTTCATTGGTAGACAAAACAATAGGATAGCTCATTTGATAATTAAGAAGACTCTTTCTTTCTTTCCTCCCTCTTGCATGCAGGGGAGGACCTACGTGTTGCATAGGGGTGTGGTCCGACACTCCTTCGTTCGAAAATCTACACAATAAATAAAAGCCAAATGAGAAAACTTGAAGCCTCATTTCAAATTTCCTGCATCCATCCAGAGTGAAAGTAGGAAGGACATTTTGGTGTTCACAATTACTTATTTTTATTCATTGAAAAGACACTTACTAGGATTCGAACCATGACCACTTGAAAGAAAAGAAAAGATCATAACCAATCACACTAAGTACATTTGTTATATCTTTTTAAATTAAAAACATATAATCGCAGAGAGTAAAAAACCCTTCCCCCATTTCAAATTCCCTACTCCAGGAGCATTTGTAGGAAGGATAGAATAGGGAGTGCCAATTTTTTTTTCTTTTCCTCTGTGGAACGGGCCAACTTACCATTCACATGCAGATTTAAACGGGTCAAGGAGTATCAATTTTTTTCTTTAAGTCCTTTTATTTCTCCGTGGTGGTAAAATATATATGTAAAGGCAAAAACAATACTCCTTTTTGTTGCTAAAAAGAAAAAAATTTAATAATAAACTAATGCATGGATTCTAATGGTCTAACCGCTAATCATAAAATAAAAGAGTTGAATGGGTCTTACCTACACGAGATTTTCCCATCAAGTAAAACAAATGAACATCATGGGTTTGCCATTCTAAAACAAGTTATTTTCTCTAGCATAATATATATTATGCTATTATTTTATATCTTAGTGGCTAAAATATAATGTATTTTAAAGTTATTCAATGGTTCTACCTCGACCAACCCAATTAGTCCAATTTTTATCATTTCAAATATATATTATGTAATTATTTGATATCATAATGATTAAATTATTGTGTATATTATAGGGAATTCGTTTGGTATTTGTTAGTAATAAACTAAACATAAAGATCTATTTGGTTATTTTTAACATTAAAACGATCCTAAACATTTTCAGTTTCCTTTCGAAATTCTATAGTTTTATTCCCGAATCAGTGATGTGCAAATGGCGAATTGCAGTCATCTCTTTTCTTTCATTATTTTTTATTTTCAAATAGAAAATTTAAAAGTAAATAATAATTAGAGTTTGGCATGGGTCGGTCAAACATGCTGAATTTCAAGTTTTGGCCCGTTTTGATCAAGTCTAATTTATAATCACATGGTTCCCTTATACCCGATAAAAATCTCAATCCAAACCAGTTTGGCAGGTGAGTCCGTGTTTACCACCATTTTCTAGGGATACAGGAATGGTGGTTCCTATCCCAAATCGTGTTGTTCATTCTTAATTTCTTTAGATTTTATCGTGGCTTGGCAAAAAACCAGAAAGCACAATGATGACAAGATGAAAGTTTTATAAAGCAAATTAACCGACCAACGGGCCGAGTAAAAGCTAGTAATGATTGTGAGATGCTCATTTCCCGAAAACCGGTGGGATAGGCGATTTTTATTCGATTTTTTTGAATTCGGTTTCTATAAAACTTACTCCACCTCATCATATTACCAGAAACAATATTGTTTCACAAGGTAACTGGTACTTGATTTTGGTTCATAAGGCTGATTTTTGATTTGTTGCATCATTCATGTCTCTTTCCTACTAAAATTCACTATTTTTATCACGTGTTTTCCAAAAAAAAAAACTATACAACAATAAGCTATACACCTTATTACATTATCAAATTTCATACCTCACCTTCCTCCGGCGAAATGGCCGGAGCCCACGCTAGTTTTGTGAAGAACCTATATTTTTTTGGTACAAAAAATTTTAATACGAGATTTTCGACACCGCTTTAATAATTATAACCCAAACTCGTTCATTATGCGATACCCCTCTTCAACAATTCTGAATCTGCCACTACTTCCATGTAGTAAAGGAAATCCATATATGAACTGGAACCTTTGAGGATTGCCGCTGGCATAAACTGATTAGAGTTGATAAAGGGGAGACGTCGCCTTCGTAATTTGCTTTCTCAATTACCAAAGGAAGCCAAACAAAATCGTTAATATCAAATTTAATAACAACCCAAAGTACGTAGGAGAAATTTTACAATGCTATATAGTATTGGTGCTATAGGTTTTTGCCTTTATGGTACAACTTAAAATTGTACATTTACGTTATGGTACAACTTGAAATTGTACCTATACTTTTTTGTACAAATTCTTTAATGTACAACTTGAACTTGTACATTTATGTGATTGTACAATTTCAAGTTGTAAAGTTGTACCATAACATAATGGTATAAATTGCTTTATGGTACAACCTAAACTTATACATTTAATGTTATGGTACAACTTCGAGTTGTACATTAAAACACCAATACTATATAGCATAGTAGAAGTGCTCCGTAGTTTAGTTAGTCCAGTTGGGTCGTCGGAAAACAGGACTCCTGTCTTATCTACCTACATATATAACCTAAAGTAAGAGTAGTGAGTGGCCGGCCGGCAAGTTGTTTTCGCCGATGTGAACTCTGCTATTCTAATTCTACTCCCTATTTGAAATTGACCAATTCGATCGCCAGCTGGATTAAACTAACTAATTACTAGCAAAATCTGGAACGTAACAGAACAAGCATCCATCCGCAGTCAAGTACTTAGTACTGATTCGAAACTCCCTCCGCGTGAGAATTTGACGTTTAACTGCGGGCCGCCGCGTAATTACCTTTTGAAACGAAATTTCGGGGCGAACCGGACCGCCTAATGTGAACCGCTAATTACTTTGTAAGGTAAGCCAACAGCCACAGAATTTCCTACTTCCGTTTGTTGGTTCCTTTAATTCCTCCAGGCCTGCCTGCCTTGCCCAATTAGCCAACAATATGACAAAAGTAAGCTAATTAGAACAGACACCAACAACCCCCATAAATCATAATATTAGGGCTTGCTCATCTTTAACTACCTTGATTTGTATGTATCTTAGCTTGGTTCATGTCCTTAATTTTTTTTTTCTGGTTAGCAACATTCTTCGGTTCTGGATTTGGTGGCTAGTCATCAGGTTAAATAAAGTGAACGGCTATTTGCCGCCAATCAAATTGCTATTTACCGCCAACTAAAAAAAAAAAAAGGAATTCAAAATTTGAATTTTCTCTTCCTTCCCAGTGCCTCCGTCGCCGGTAAAAAAAAAAAATTTAAATTTTGAATTTTCCCTTCCTTCCCAGTGCCTCCGTCGCCGACAACGTTCTTCCGTCGTCGGCTAACCTCCCGTCGCCCTCAATCGTCGGAAAACAAGTAAGTTTACTTTTTCCGGCCAGTTTTCCAGTTTTCCGGTAAGTTTTCCAGTTTTCCGGCGAAAGACACGGCGGGCCGAAAAAAAATTGCGGCCCGAACGTCGCCGAGCCGAAAAAAATTTGTGGTCGGGACGACGGCCGGCCGAAAAATTCTTTCGGCCCGGCGACGCCACGGCCGCAAATTTTTTTCGGCCGGTCGCCGAACACGCCGGCCAAAAATTTTCCGGCGGCAGGCTCGTCGGCCGGCCGAAAAAAATTTGCGGCCGGAGCGCGTCGGGCCGAAAGAATTTTTTTCGGCCGGTCGCCGAACACGCCGGCCAAAAATTTTCCGGCGGCGTGTTCGTCGGCCGGCCGAAAAAAATTTGCGGCCGTGGCGTCGCCGGGCCGAAAGAATTTTTCGGCCGGCCGTCGTCCCGGCCACAAAATTTTTTCGACTCGGCGACGTTCTAGCCGCAATTTTTTTTCGGCCCGCCGTGTTTTTCGCCGGAAAACTGGAAAACTGGCCGGAAAAAGTAAACTTACTTGTTTTCCGACGATTGAGGGCGACGGGAGGTTAGCCGACGACGGAAGAACGATGCCGGCGACCGACGATTGACTTGCCTCGCGCCCGATCTTCGTCCAATCGACCCCGAACTCGCTAGAAATCCATAATGAAATTCATAAGTTCATAATGACACTAGGGTCATTAAAAATACAACTAGAAAAACAACAACATATAAATAGAGCATTGCAACACGACACACGATTTACGTGGTTCACTAACACGAAGTATTTATAGTACTTCTCTATGTGGGTCTAAACCTAATCCAATATGACAAAGGAAACGGTTACAGACCAGGCCCAGAACCCGAACCCAAATAACATTGAGCCCATACACCGTGGGCCAGGGGCGTTGCCCCCGCACCCCCACCGGGGCGTTGCCCCTGGACCCCACTCGCTGACCGGGCAGCGAGACCCCCGATTACCAGTCGTAGCGGCTGATAGTCCGATTCAAGTCACATCAACAAAGGGTTTAGAGTTCAAGGTTCACTTAGGGTTTAGGGTTTAGGGTTTAGGGTTTGAAACACATGGTTCGTGTAGCACTTTGCCCACATTGTCTGATGGTTAGTGATGATTCATGGATGCGTGTACGCATTATATGTCGAGGATAGGCTTTCCCGATGATTTTCCGACGACTTTTCCGGCGAGCGTTGAATTTTTCTGATTCAATACGTTCTCTGAAAGTTGGATATGTTGTAGATTGTGAAACTCTTTAACCAAAGATGTATATATATACATTTTTTTTCATCGATGATTTTCCGGCGACTTTCCGGCGACTTTTCCGGCGAGCGTTGAATTTTTCAGATTAAATACGTTCTCTGAAAGTTGGATATGTTGTAGATTGTGAAACTCCTTAACCAAAGATGCATATATATACTCTTTTTTTTTTGGTTGGCGGCAAATAGCAAGCCACAAGATATGTTCAGTTCATGTATTACTACTATAATTAATTAACTTTCACTTAAATAAACAATGTAGCGTTAGAATATTTCATTTCTTAAAACAAATATTCATTAATTATCTTATATTTTCTCGATAATATGCTTCTCTCTTTTTTACCGGACGACAATGAATATCACTCTTTCTTTCTCGTTTACTACAGTTAGAGTCTATAACCATTGATGATGTCACTTCCTCTATTTAATATCCTCTCTATCGCACCATCGCCTTTCTTCTCTATCCGTTTGTTTCTCTAGTGTCGACGGTGGTGTCCCCTCCTCAGCTCCTCTCCCTTTTCTCGACAATCGTATATGGTAATTGCCTGCTAATCGATTCATCTCGGAGAAATTTAGCTTGGCTAATTAAAATAAAAATGTGAATTAGTAGACACAAAAATCAAACTATGTTCATACCCCTTCGGACGACTAACGGGTCGTTTGCTTCCTGGATTTCAAATATGAAGGTTTTGGTAAAATTTGGATTTTGTAAAACCATTGATATATGAAGGTTTTAGATTCATTATGAACTTGAAAAATACCATTGTTTGTTTCATAGATTTCATGATGGAATTGGTTAATTAGATTTGTATGTATGAAGTGAAATTTACCTTTATTGCTCTCATCGATATGAGAAGAGCTTTTTTTTTATATAAAAAAGCTATGAGAAGATAAATGAAATAGGAGGGGTAGTTTTGTCTTAAATGATAGACTTCAAAGTCCATGATCAATTCTCATCTAAAGAAATGGTACTTTCAAGTCCGCGAAGTGCACGGATTTGGACCATTAACGTTCGTGGAACCCACATATTTGTTGCTTCTAAAAACATGAAACAAAGAGTGAATTTTGGACAAAATACATGTTGGATCCAAATCCATAAGCAAACAACCCTAAATCTGCAATGTAAACGAATTATAATGCTTAGCCACATGATACAAATCAGCATTCTTCATGTGCAACGTAGCCGTGAGACCTTGCAGTTTGGTATGAATAAACTCTTTGTTATTCTTCTCAAAACAAAATACTAATTTATATTCCCTTTTTTGTAGTAATATTTCTTCTTTTTGCATTTTGTAACATTATCTGACCGCATAGCGCAGTGGATTAGCGCGTTTGACTTCGGATCAAAAGGTCGTGGGTTCGACTCCCACTGTGGTCGAAAATCTTGGTGATTGATTTTTGTTTTTTGAAACTTGGGCTTTTTTACTCGGACTGGACCCGCTAAGAAAGCTTCTGGGCTTTGCATAACTTCTTAACTGCTTCGGATAAACTCCAGTTCTGTACTTCCCATCTTCCAATGTTCTTCTTTGGCCCATTGGGTTGCCGCCTTATTTCCCTCTCTCCATCGATGGAACATAGAAGCCCAGAACCCATTCAGCCTAGTAACAGAATTCAACAATGAAATTGCAATGGAAAAATGAACTCCATAACTTTGTCGACGGTTACAACTGTAATGAAACTGCCCGAGTTTTCATCTTAAAAATTGCCTAATTTTATAATGAACTCGATCTCTTTGTTGAACATACTCTGTCTGCTGTGTGGGCATGAGTGCAAAGTCGTTGAATCACCTCTTCTTTCGATTTTGTTAGAAGTAGTTTCTAAAGGGTTGATAATACCAAGTAGAAAGTTGTAGAGCGCAAACATGTGTTTATATTGTATCATATATCCACTCTTTTATTGGTTGCTCTCAAGTCTCAGCGATTGAGAGACCTAGGTAAATATGGTTGCCTGAATCTCCAGTTCTCTTCACAGCCTGTCCTCTTTGTGTTGGATTTGCATGGTCTGGAAGCCGGAAGGTTTGTGGCTTTTGCACCAGCCAGCTTGCACATAACAACCAATTTCCGGACCACCGATTTCCGACCACAACAACCAAACTTCATGTACTAGCCTATTTTCTCATGATCCAATCCTACTTCCTATCCGCGTGCCATGGCCCACGAACAACACACCCAAGCCCAGCCCAGAACGACCAAACCTCATGTAGTGGAGACGGGAGAATGAAGATGTGGGGGAACCTTAATTGTTTGGCGCATTTATGGTCTAGATCGAGGGATTATAGTATAAACCATAGATCAGACCACAGATTATCAGATCACGCATGTGTGGTCTAGTCCGGTATGATTTGGTCCAGATAGACCACAGTGAATAAAAAATGAACAATTTAATTAGTCAACCGCATAATTAATTGAACCAGTAGCCAAGAAAAAATGTTTTGTTTCCTTAAAACATAAATTCCTTCATCCATAGATAATTTTGACACCATAAATCTCAGTAAATAATAAAGATATAAAGTCAAAACATCCCAACTTGAATCATAACGTCATAAACATTTACATAATGTCACATGGAGACACGATCGTCTCTACTCTCTAGTGAAATGTGGTTGTGAATGAAGGAGGGGATGAGATTCTCAACATTAAGATTGAGACTTGGGTATCGTTGTGGGCGTTGGGAGAGTGATCGAGTGGGTTACTAACCCATATTGAGAAGTCTACTGGATCCACGATTTGGTCAGGTAAACCTCGGTCTAGACCAGACCAGACCAAGAAATCAAAACATCACATAATACAGACCATGGACCAGACCAGACCATACTTAATGGTCTACGATCCAGACCAAACTATACGGTCCGGTTTGGACCATGATTTTTCAAACGGTCCGGTCTAGTTTCCCAGTCCTACATTTAGCAATAGAAATGGAATTGGGACCTAAATGCGTATCTATCTATTTCACCCTTGGGGTGGGAGTAGCGAGGGGGCATGATTAGGGGATTAGGAGTGGGTTTAGCTTATTCGGCCCTATCGAGTTTGAACGGAACAAAACTTTCATTTGAACCTTTGAAGTTGAAGTTCGGTTCGAACTCATTGTGGAATTCATCATTTAATTCGATTTTGTTGAAAGCGAACCGACTAAAAGTCCACCACTATTCACTATTTACAATCACTTAGTATGCATTTTATTGACCGTAACATAAAAAGGATTGTTCATTTAGTGATTACAAAAAGAGACTCTTTCAATCTACCCTAATTTGATAGTGTTTGATTTTTTTTTTTTTTTTTTTTTTTTGGCTTCAGTCATTGTACTAACTCTATCTCTTTATCACTCGACAAAACAAGTGGCCTAATGAAAAAAAAAAAAGAACATGCGCATCTATGTCTATCTATATGATTTAATATACAGTTTTTTGGTACATTCGAAAAGGGAATAGTGCAACTATTGTTTAGTCCTGAAGACACATGTCACCTTTTCTATTAGTGTCTACAATTGATTCAATGACAATTGACAATAGGTGTTGTTGCCTTGGGCATAGGTTCTCTCATTACAAACAATCGTGAACTGTCTTTGCCATGAAATTGACAACTTGATTAGCCATCGTGAGGCAATGGTGGAGATGGAAATCCAAATTTTAGCAGAGAAGAACATAATAATCATTAAGATGACTCTAAGTGGGTAAAAGAGAAAATCAGCCAAATAGCGAAATGAGTAGGGGTGGCTATATGGTCCGGTCCGGTTAAATTGGACCAAATTGATCCGGTCTCAGTCCGGTCTTTTCGGGAATATAAGGACCAAAGATTGGATTGGATATAGTCCGGTCTTGACCCGGTCCGGTCCCAATTTGATCTTGATTTTAGATTGAGCTTGTGGGGATTTGAGTGTTGGGGTCTCTTATCCGGTCTTTATCCAGGTTTTTTTTACCTCAAATCTAAACCCGAATATGAGATTGGATTATTTGCTATCCGGTCCCAGTTCGGTCCCGGTCCGGATTATATAGTCCAGTTTTAGGTAAAACCAAACAGTACGGACCAAATAGCCAGCCCTGAAAATGAGAAAACAATTCTTGAAGCATAGTTGATCTCTACTCTTCAAAATTCCAAGCTCCAAGCTAACCTGAGATCGTCTCTAATTGCTTTGAACACGAAACTTAGCCGCTTCTTTTTTTCGAGTAGCCTACAATTCACTTACAAGTCCCGTATCACTCCATTAACCAAAGAGGATGGAGGACGGAGGTGCTATCCGCTTACCGCCATCCACATTAAAGTTGATCCAACCATCAAAGGGAGATTTCCATGATACTTGGCGCCATTACAGTATAGTACTCATACACTTGCATACCAACATCATGAATCTTCAAAGTCCACATTAATTCAGGTTTAATTGTACACATTTTACCATTCATTTTTTGTCCATTTGATTTGGTATTTCATTGTCACTTGACCTATTTTATGCTAGGTTGTGCTTCTTTTGTCATATTTCAGGTCCTATTACATGTGGGAATGTCTGGGACAAGTTTCGGGTCATTCGGAGGTCAAAACAAGACAAAAAGTGGAGGCTAAGCACTGTTCACGGGTTGGAGGCAAATGTCACGCCCTGAGACCACGAAAATCACCCCCAGGGAGTGAAGTGCATGACTTCACGGTCTGGACTCATTTATCACGGTACTAAGACCGTGATAATCACCCATAGACCGTGAAGTAGCCAAATTCCAGAGCAGTTTCGCGTCTCACTGGAGTCAAACCAGTTCACTGTCGCTAAGACCGTGAACTCAAGCCCCAGACCGTGAAGTCGACAGTGTAGGGAAAATATAAAGACATCAGTGGGGAGAGAAAAAAGGGAGCTGGATTTTGGAGGAGAAATTGATTCTCTCTAGGGTTTCGACCCAAAACACCAAAGGGGAGTTACAGTGAGAGAGAGTTCTTGAGTGATATTGGAGCTTAATTGAAGACATTGATCAAGTTTGGAAGCAAGGAATCAAGCCTAGTGCGTGCAAGC